TGATGACACAGAGAGCCCCATCACGCTCATTGCCCTGCTTCCTCAGAAGCTGATATCTCAGTGTTGGGAAGGGTACAGAAGAAAAGGAAAGATGGGAGGGGAAGGAAGAATGGGAGGGGAAGGTAGGAAGCCAGATTATGGATGTACAGTTTTAAGACAGAACTGATGGGAGTTGCTGGCGGTTTGAATATGGAGAGTGAAGAAGAGAAGCTAAACAGTGACTCCGAGCAGGGTTTTTGACTTGAGCTCCCAGGAGAATTGAATTGTCGTTGACTGAGATGAGGACAAAGCAATGGGGGATTTGGTGGGGGGGTGGGGGTGGTGGTGGTGGTGATCAGGAGCTAAGTCTTGGATGTGCTAAGTTTGAGACCTCCAAGAGGAGATGACCCAAGAGGTGTATTGTGTGTGTACATGCATCTTGGCGTATGAGCTGGACATGTATATTTGGGAATCCTTGGCATGTAGACGCTGTTTAAAGCCGTGAACTTGGGGCGCCTGGGTGGCGCAGTCGGTTAAGCGTCCGACTTCAGCCAGGTCACGATCTCACGGTTCGTGAGTTCGAGCCCCGCATCGGGCTCTGGGCTGATGGCTCAGAGCCTGGAGCCTGTTTCCGATTCTGTGTCTCCCTCCCTCTCTGCCCCTCCCCCATTCATGCTCTGTCTCTCTCTGTCCCCAAAATAAATAAACGTTGAAAAAAAAAATTAAAAAAAAAAAAATAAATAAAGCCGTGAACTCAGCTGAGATCACAGAGGGAGCAGAATAGATGGAAGAGTTTATGCTAAGCCCCCAGGGACAAGTTCACACTGGGAGATGAGGAGGAACCGGCAAGGTAGGGTCAAGCAGTGAAGTGGAAGGAAAACCAGGTGATTGTGGTGATTTGGAAGCCAAGTGAAGCAGATGTTTCAGTTAATATGAAAGCATCAACTCTGTCAAATGTTGCTGATAGGTCAAGACGATGACCTTAAACCTGCCGTTGAATTTAGCAATATGGAGATCATCGGTGACATTAATAATCATTTGTGTGTGGGAGAGGAGCTTGGTTAATGTAGCCTCCAGAAAGAGTGGGAGAAGAGAAATGAGAGACGGCAGGTAGAGAGGACTCTTTCCAGGGTTTCAAGCACCGTGTAAGGCACACGGCCAGTTACCTACTTCTGTGTTTGCGGCTCTGCCGCTGAGTGCGAGGCAGTCCTTTTGTGAGAGTTGTGTGAATAACCTTTCACTATCACTACACATAAAATTTGTTGCTAGGCATTATTTGGGTGTAGGTTGGTGAAACGATTGTGTCATTGGCCGAGTTAATGACAGACGGGCAGTGTTGCTCCTGTACATGTTATAAGTGAGGAAATCCCCAGAGCAGTTTCAGTGGCATGATACTGGGGAGGATAAGTTTGTTTTTGTTTTGAAATTTTTCAGTTTATTTATAATGAGAGAGTGAGAGAGGGAGCATGCAAGCAGAGGAGGGAAAGAGGGAGAAAAGAGAATCTGAAGCTGTCATCACAGAGCCCGATGCGGCGCTCTATCCCATGAACCGTGAGATCATGACCTGAGCTGAAATCAAGAGTTGAACACTTAACTAACTGAGCCACCCAGGCGCCCCCTAGGGGGTATAAAAACAAACTGCGATTTGGAAAACTGAAGTTCTTGAGATTCCAAAAATGTTAGAGAAAGTGGACACTTGACAGGTTGTGTGGTAATCAGCTGCCTTTGGCCTTGTCAGCGCCTTGACCTTTGTCTATAAGAAGTTGCAACTTCGTTTATTGAAGAATATTTTCTATGTCCATAAGTTGCTTGGCTTATAATGAAATCTTTTTTTTTTTTTTTTTAATTTATTGCAGTTTTTTAAAAAAAGATTTTGTTTTTAAGTAATCTCTACACCCCATATGGGGCTTGAACTCATGACCCCAAGAGCAAGAGTCACATGCTCCACTGACTGAATCAGACAGGCGCCCCTATGATGAAATCTTACTAGGAAATTAGAATTAGTTAGATTTGCTGAAATAAATTTAACGGTTTAGACAAGTGAGTCCTTGATTGTTTAGATAGAAAGTTGGTTGCACCCGCCACTTAAAGCTTGGATGACAAATACATAGTACATACGCCGCCGTAGTCCTCTCCTACCGTCGCTGCTGATCAGCCACAGTGCATTTTCATGCTGAGTCCAGCTGTGGCCTCAGAATTCGTGTTAGTAATGTTCCAGAAAGTTACTACCATTTAGTCCATTGTGACCCGACATAAAACTTGTTAATCCCTGGTGTAAGGACTTAGATCGCAAGATAATAATTATGCGGGAACAACACATAAATTAGAAACAGCTTTGAATTGGTTGTCATTCACACGGCTAGAGTTTATCAGTAATAGTAATGGCTGATGAGGACCCCAATAGAGCTGGGTTACAGCGCTTAGTTCTTTTGTTGAAACGTTGAATTGACAGTTAATCTCTATTCTTTTGTGCGAAGATTCTACTCTGTTTGCTGAATTTGGCTATTTCACAGACACTGATGGCCTGCAGTTGGACACGACAAAGGAAACTTACGTAAGTATTCACTAGAGGGGATTGACTGAGTAACGTGATGTTTAATCTTTAATCACTCCAAGATGGTTTCGGGATGACAGGTTTAGGCCAGTCATTTAAAGTTTAAATAACTTAGTGTTAAGTATGAAAATCAGCAGCCATTTTTTACTCCGTAAATTCAGGATTGTAGAAATTGCATCGATCTTGGCGTGAGAAGACCTGTGTTCTAAGTTTACTTTGGCCCCAGGGTTGGGTGACTTGGAAAAGTCAGTTCACTGCCTACTTTTTGGCTTCTATAGATACTTTGCTGCATAAGGGAAATGATGATGTTAAAGGGTGTACGTGAGTCGTGGATCCACTCAAGTAGAACTTACTGACTTCCTTTTTAAAAGTTATGTATCCTTAGTGTAGAAGGCTCTCAAACTCAGACATATCCTTATTTTTTGCCTTTGAGTGGTTAGAAGTCTGTATAAAAGCTATCAGAGCACGTTGAATCCTCAAAAGTATCTTTTTTGTCTTTTGTGTTCATACATAGTACGTTGGCCCATGGAGCTCTTATTTTGTCTTATTCTTTAATGGATGAGGTGCTGTTCACTTGGAAAGTGAACAGAGTGATTTTATATGTACATCAGTGAGGTTGGAGATTTGTTACTTACGTTTTAAGCCCTTATTAACCTGAGTATAAAAATATGTAGTGCTTACTTAGTGAGTTTCTCAGACATTTTTCAAAGAATAATTTAGCAGTTGTTTTAGTATGAATCAGTAGAAGAGAGTAGGATATAGAATTGATTAAAACAATTTTTTTTTTGTTTTTTTTTTGAGAGAGAGAGTGTGAGTAGGGGAGGGGCAGAGAGAGAGAGGAGACACAGAATCTGAAGCAGGCTCCAGGCTCTGAGCTGTTAGCACAGAGCTGGTGTGGGGCTCGAACTCATGAACCGTGAGCTCGTGATGTGAGCTCACCCTTAAGTCAGACGCTTAACTGACCGAGCCACCCAGGTGCCCCCAGGATAGATTTTTAAAAATCAGTATGTGAACTTTTTTTTAAGCTATTTATTTTGAGAGAGAGAGCATGAGTCAGGGAGGGGCAGAAAGAAGGGGAGAGAGAATTCCAATGTGCCCTCAGTACATGAGATTTTAATGGCTTTGCTTACTTTGTGAGGTGTTTTAGAATGTGGTCTCTTGGTGGTGCCTTGGTGGCTCAGTTGGTTAAGCATCTGACTTCAGCTCAGGTCATGATCTCACAGCTCGTGAGTTCAAGCCTCATATTGGGCTTTCTGCTGTCAGCACAGAGCCTGCTTCAGATCCTTTCTCTCTCTCTTGAAGATAAATAAACATTAAAAAAAATTAGAATTTGGTCTCTTGATTACATTGGCTTTATTTGTTTTTAAAAATTTATTTATTTTTGAGACAGAACAAGAGGGGGATGGGCAGAGAGAGAGAGAGGGAGAAAGAATCCCAAGCAGGCTTCATGCTGTCAGTGCAGACCCCGACATGGGGCTTGAACTCATGAACTGTGAGATCATCACCTGAGCCTAAATCAAGAGTTGGTCACCCAACTGACTGAGCCACCCAGGAGCCCCTAAATTGGCTTTAAATATTGGGCGGTTGCCAAAGCAACTGATATTCTTTTACAGCCTCTACAGCTAAAACCATCAAGAAACACTGTAGTAAATTTGAAAGGTTCAGGGATATATGGTTCTCATTTTATACCATTCTTACCTTCCACAAGGCATTCAGTCTTTCAGTTCCTTGGTATTTCTAGTATAAAATGAAGGGGTTGGATTAGATGGTTTCTGAGGGCCCTTTCTACCTTTAAAATTGTGTCATTTTTCTTTCACACATTAGTAGATTTTTCCATGAGAAGTCATTGAAAAGCCAGAATAGAGAGGTATAAATATGTTTCACTTTACATAAAATAGGCCTGTTAAGTTTGCAACCAGATAGAATTCTTAGGCTGTAAAAAGTATTTGACTTTTTTGGCTGAAGACTGAGAGAAGCATCTCCGAAGTAGGTCACGTCCACTATTATATGTTTAAAAACTATTATATGTTTAAAAACTACTATAGCACTCAGGTAGGCTTTGTTGTTTAGTTTACTTACGCCAACAAAGTTTAAGGATGTTTTTGGTTGCTGAAAGTATGAGGTTGCTTAGTTTCATGATGTGTCGATTCAAATAAGAGAAAAAAGCAAAGGGGATTGATTTAAAAAATGATTGTTTCATGACTTAAGTAGTTTTTTCTTTCTTTTCACATGAACTTCCACACATTCTTTTTATATAACTTGCACCTATATTCACTTAGTTAAGGGCAGTGTGATAAAACTGTTTCCCTTCTCTCTTTTTTAAAAAAAAACTTTGTTTTTTTTAACGTTTACTCATTTTTGAGAGAGAGAGAGAGACAACGTGAGCGGGGTGGGGCAGAGAGAGGGAGACAGAGAGAGGGAGACACAGAATCCAAAGCAGGCTCCAGGCCCTGAGCTGTCAGCACAGAGCCCAACGTGGGGCTCGAACCCACGAACCGGGAGATCATGACCTGAGCAAAAGTCACATGCTCAACCAACTGAGCCAGCCAGGCACCCCACCTTCTCTCCTTTTGTTCTCAATAAAAATAAACCACAAAGTAGACGTTGTGAAATACTATGATTTTAGAAATTATTACCAAATGGTTGTTAATAATGAAGAGATTAATCTTTATTTTTTGCCTGAGGCTTACTTTCTTTACTGTTGCTGTTTTATTATCTGTCACATTAAGTTAATATTAACTGCCTTGAACTTTGTAGTACTATTTATATATTGCTTACTTCTGTTTTTGTCTCCATAACCCTAGACACTTAAGATAATAGTACTGTCTTGATCTCAAACACCTGTGAGGGCTCTGAAATCATGTGACAGTTCTTTATTTATGTATAATAGTATAAGATGGCTATTCAGATGACCCAGAATATGCTTATATTTAAGTAAGAAACATTGTCATCTAAATGAAAAAAAAAAAAAAAACTTTAAGAGTCCCTCTAAGAAGTGTATTGACTTCTATTTTGAGAAACGTAGTTTTATCTTCTAGGATTAAAAAAAAAAATTAGAAATTTTATTTTAGAAGTTTGAAAAGGTACTGTATAGTAGAAAAAAGAAAATTGTCCATTTTTCTGTGGATCTCTTCTTGCTTACATAACCATTTTAATATTTGATATAATTGAAGATTCAGCTGAAGTCTCGTTATGAAGTTGGGTAGTAGCAGTTATATTATTTATGGCCAATTGTGTCTGAGGTTTGATTTCTAGATCTTTTTATTCTTCTAATATCCTTTTGCTGATATCCTTTTCCTGAAACCTACAGGAAAATAATTTTGATACTCTTGATTTTGACTTGGATTTGATGCCTTGGGAGACAGGCATTTTGGACATCAACAACCAGTTCTGTCCAGGTAATGGTGTATTTCACTGGTAAATATTTTTAAACAGATCCATTTTATTTTGTAGTTTGGTAACAGTCGATACTAGGTGGGGTTACTGGGCTACTTTGATGGGTCAAAAATCCCAGGGACTATATATTCTACTTTTGATGTGGCAGGGAAGGTTTTAGTGGAAGGTTTTAGTCGCATAATGAATTGAGAATTCATACCCAAAATCTCGATTTTGAATTATATACAGTATCTCTGTAAGAGGTTAGCCTGTCTGAGAACCAGGCAGAATTTAGGGAATCAAAGAGAAGAAGCTTGGGGTCACCCGAACTTGGGAAGTTGGTGTAGGGGTCCCATGCGTCTGATACACGTGCTTCTGTGGAAGGGGCACCCCCCTGGCTGATGCTAGTATCTTTAAGGAACCCTGATAAAGTACATTTGGGATGTGCTCAGAGAGGCTGGGACCTGGAGGAAACTGTCACTTCTGGGATGAAGCTGATGGGAGGAGGAAGAAACCCCCTTCTGCCCTCTCTTCACTTTAGCGTCCTTCTAGTATCTCCCACTGATGGGGCCTAAAAGGGAGCCGGCTGGGACATGTCTCAATAATGTGCGTCGCAGACTATAAATAGGAGGTAGACTTAGCGCGGAGAGATAGTGAGTCAGTCAGTCACCCGCACATCCTCCCATCCAAATTGCAGTCCTCCCCACCCCTGCATGTCCCAGTCCCTCATTTTATATATTCCTGTGTCTTGCCCAATACCTGTCTTCCCTCAAAGAATATGGGCTACCCAAGGCCGGTGTTCTGGTTACTATTGTCAGGTAGCAAACTACTCTAGAGCTTTGTGGCTTAAAGCAACAACCGTTTTATTATGCTCCCAGGATCAGTGAGTCAGGACAGGGTACGCCAAGGGTGGCTTTCTTCCGCCGTGTGATGTCCAGACCGCAACTGGGAAGATTGAAAGGCTGGAGTAGCTTGAAAGTTGGGGGCTAGAATTACCTTAATATCTCTTCACTCACGTTATCTCTTGCCTGGCCTGAATGGCTTGATGACCAGGAGTGTCAGAGCACCTGCACCTGGTCTTTCTGTGCGGCTGAGCTTGCTCTCAGCTTGGTGGTCTCAGGCAGTCAGCCTGCAGAGGCTCCGATCTAAGTGTTCCAGCACGCAGAGTAGAAGCTGCGTTTGCCTAATGTCTCCCAGCCTTGGAATCCATGGAGCGTGACTTCTATACTCTGTTGATGGAAGGAGTCCTAAGACCCCCTTGCTTCAAACGGAGGGAAACAGATGCTGCTTCTCACTGGGGAAGGGCAAGATCACATTACAGATTAGGAGGGATGGTAGAGATTTTGCAGCTAACTCTGGACAGTGCAGTCTGTTGCAGGGATGTGCCCTCTCTCATTCCCACCCTGTCGCAGACTTGACACCCAGGAACGTGGCCTCGGCTGTAGTTGCTCGAAAGATGTGAACAGTATGTGCGATTTAATCGTACTGCCACGAGTGTTTTCCAAAACACTTGTTGTCGATTTCCTATACTTTGAAGAGTGATTTTTGGACGAACCTGTAATGTTTTGCATATGGTATAATATTCCGAAGGTCCGACAAGTCTGTATGGTAGAAAGATGTCTCCTTCAGCTGCCGTTCCTCAGCCAGCACGTTCTCCCCGGAGACAACCACAGTTACCGACGTGTTCATGTTTATCCTTCCAGAGAACTAGTGCACCTGAGGGAAGATACATACATATGCACGTATATCATTTATCATACAAATGGTAGCCTACTCGATTCACTGTTTTCTGCATCTTGAATTTACATTCGATGATGTGTTTTGGTGACCTTAGCTTCAGTGTGATTGGATTTTAGGAGTAGATTTTACCTTCTTTCCTCCTAACTGTATTCTGAGTTTGTATGGTGCAGCGGGAAAATTTTTACTCCCTGTTTCTCCGTTAAAGGCATTAAGGCAGAGCCTCAGCCACCTTCTCCAGCCTCTTCGAGTTGTTCAGTCTCCTCTCCTCAGTCCGTGGACTCTTGTTCTTCAACCCAGCACGTTCCTGTAAGTAGCCAGTCTTTTACTGTGATTTTTAAAAAAAATTTTTTTGAAGTTTTTTAAAATTTATTTTTGAGAGACAGAGACAGAGCGCAAGGGGGGGAGGGGCAGAGAGAGGGAGACACAGAATCTGAAGCAGGCTTCAGGCTCTGAGCTGTCAGCACAGAGCCTGACGCAGGGCTCGAACTCACACACCGCGAGATCATGACCTAAGCTGAAGTCAGACACTTAACCGACTGAGCCACCCCAGGCACCCCCTTTTATGGTGATTTTACAGTGATTTTGATTATAATGCTGTCTGGGAGTTCTGCATGTGGAAGAGGCAGTTAACATTTACTAAATGCTACTGTGAATCTTATTACCTCCTTTAATCCTGAGGGAATGGAGTCTCCAGGAAGGGCCTTGGGAGGGCAATAAATTCTTTGTCTCTTTGGTTTTGCCCTCCTTCCCCTATGTTCTTGCCTTCATGATTTCATTTTCTTTGCACTTTACCAGTATCCAATATTTTTTTGTTGTTGTTCATTGGCTTACTGTCTTTTCTCCCTGGTGCCCTCTCTCTTGCCTGTTAGAATATACATTCTTTGAGGACAGGGAAGGCTCTAAGATGGTCTGTTTTTGTAATGCTTTGGTCATAGAACTAGAATGGATTTTTTTTTTAATTTTTTTTAAGGTTTTATTTTTGAGAGAGAAAGATAGAGAGCGAGCAATCAAGCAGGTGAGGGGCAGACAGAGGGAGACACAGAATCCGAAGCAGGCTCCAGGCTCTGAGCTGTTAGCACAGAGCCTGACGTGGGGCTCAAACTCAAAAACCGTGAGATCATAACCTGAGCCGAAGTCCGACACTCAGCCGACTGAGCCCCCCAGGTGCCCCATAGTTTTTGTTTTTTTGTTTTTTTTGATGTTAAGAAAGTATCCCTCTAATTCTTTTTTAAATTTTTTTTTTTTCAACGTTTATTTATTTTTGGGACAGAGAGAGACAGAGCATGAACGGGCGAGGGGCAGAGAGAGAGGGAGACACAGAATCGGAAACAGGCTCCAGGCTCTGAGCCATCAGCCCAGAGCCCGACGCGGGGCTCGAACTCACGGACCGTGAGATCGTGACCTGGTTGAAGTCGGACGCTTAACCGACTGCGCCACCCAGGCGCCCCAGTATCCCTCTAATTCTTGTGTTTTAGGACTTTTATGAGGAATACTTGCTGAATGTTATGAAATAACCTTTTAAGCATCTAAGGCCATGAAGATAATCGTATCCTCTTGTGTTGTTATCTTGTACTCTTTGGTTTCTCCCAGATACACTCTGAAATACTGTAAGGTTCATAGAGCCCAGTGTGTGGCTGGGGCTGAGTAGTTGTTGAGGATCATTGAGCGACACAGCTCTCATTCTCACCGGCATGACTGGGAATGACCATTTCTCCCCTATTATCTCCAGGTCATTTTAACTTCTTTTCTTCTGATCGAAAAAAAACAAAAAACAAAACAAAAAGATTTTTTAAAAAAACGTGCCTTTAGCTACCATTTGCATTTTTTTCATTGAAGTGGCTGTTCCTGTCCTTGTCTATCTTGGGCAGATATGTGCCCCAGTATTTATCTTTTTAATTATGGTCTATTTTTTTTATTATCTATTTATTAAACAAATTTTTTTTAATGTTTATTTATTTTTGAGACAGAGGGAGTGCGAATGGGGGAGGGGCAGAGAGAGAGGGAGACACAGAATCGGAAACAGGCTCCAGGCTCCGAGCTGTCAGCACAGAGCCCGATGCGGGGCTCGAACCCACAAACTGTGAGATCATGACCTGAGCCGAAGTCAGGCACTCAACGGACTGAGCCACCCAGGCGCCCCTGGTCTATTTTTTATTATAAAATATTTTAATTACTGTTTGTTCAAATTTCTTGCTTCTTCCTTTATGGCTTCTGGGTTTTTTTTTGTTGTTGTTGTTGTTTTAAGGGAGCCTACGTTATGCTTAGAGTAAACGAATATTCTCTTAATTAAAAAAAATATGTTTTTAAGTTTATTTATTTCTTTTTGAGAGAGAGAGAGAGGGAATATCCCAAGCAGACTCCACACCACCAGTGTAGAGCCCAGTGCGGAGCTCGAACCCACGAACCGTGAAATCATGACCCAAGCCGAAATCAAGTC